TCTTCATTTTTATTCCATCTCTTCTATTCCCTCTCTACTACACTATTCAGAGGTTTCTTCTCAATTATCGGGGTATTCTCTTTACGTTTCCCCTCTTATTCTTTATTTTCTCTTCTTTTCTATTCCTTCTTATCTCTTCCTTCTTTAATTCTCTATTTCCTTCTCAACTGTCCGCTAAATGTCCACTCTACGCCTCATTCACTGTCCGCTAAATGTCCACTCTACGACTCATTCACTGTCCGCTAAATGTCCGCTCTACACCTCACTCAACTGTCCGCTAAATGTCCGCTCACACCTCAACTGTCCGCTAAATGTCCGCTCTACACCACCAACTGTCCGCAAATGTCCGCTCTACGCCTCATTCACTGTCCGCTAAATGCCCGCTCTACACCTCACCAACTGTCCACTAAATGTCCGCTCTACACCTCACCAACTGTCCGCTAAACCACTCTACGCCTCACTCAACTGTCCGCCAAAATGTCCACTCACACCTCACCAACTGTCCGCCAAAATGTCCACTCTACGCCTCACCAACTGTCCGCTAAATGTCCGCTCCACCTCACTCAACTGTCCGCTAAATGTCCGCTCTACACCTCACCAACTGTCCGCAAATGTCCGCTCTACACCTCACTCAACTGTCCGCCAATGTCCGCCTACACCTCACTCAACTGTCCGCTAAATGTCCGCTCTACACCTCACCAACTGTCCGCCAAATGTCCGCTCTACACCTCACTCAACTGTCCGCTAAATGTCCGCTCTACACCTCACTCAACTGTCCGCTAAATGTCCGCTCTACGCCTCATTCACTGTCCGCTCGACACCTCATTCACTGTCCGCTATAAAGATCAATCACTGTATATTTGACGTCCTGACATCCGATCTACAGAATGAACCCGTAATACTGAACACCTAACCTAACCTAACCTAACCTAACCTACACACAGATCAATGACGCACCAATACTCACTCCCTACCACAACACCACCACCACCACCACCACCACCACCACCACCACCACCACCACCCACTATTCAGATACACCGTGCGAGTGTTTGAGATACATGAACCATATTGTACTAAAGTAAACAAGGGCTCCCACACGGTGTTTAATATCAACACCTGATCGCTATACTGTACACTCACTATATGTGTGTGTGTGTGTGTGTGTGTGTGTGTGTGTGTCTGTGTGTGTAGAGGATTTGATTGCTCTTTATACGACTTGATATCAGTTTCTGTATTGTATTTAGTAATAAAATTAATTACTGTATCCTTCCTCACCCCCCATCATCATCTCTACTACCACTACCACTACCACTACCACTACTCCACCACCACCATCACTACCACTACTACCATAACTAGCACCACCCCACCACTCCCTCTAACACACCTACTCCACCTGATCTACTACCATAACACACCTACTCCACCTGACCTACTACCATAACACACCCACTCCACCTGACCTACTACCATAACACACCTACTCCACCTGACCTACAAAACACACCACTCCACCTGACCTACTACCATAACACACCTACTCCACCTGACCTACTACCATAACACACCTACTCCACCTACCCACTACCAACACACCTACTCCACCTGACCTACAATAACACACCTACTCCACCTGACCTACTACCATAACACACTCCATCCACAGACCTACTACCATAACACACCTACTCCACCTGATCTACTCCCATAACACACCTACTCCACCTGACCTACTACCACACACCCATCTCACCTGACCTACTACCATAACAACACACCTACTCCACTCTGACCTACTACCATAACACACCTACTCCAACCGACCTACTACCATAACACACCTACTCCACCTGACCTACTACCATAACAACACACCTACTCCACCTGACCTACAAAACACACCTACCCACCTGACCTACTACCATAACACACCTACTCCACCTGACCCACCATAACACACCTACCACCTAATCTACTACCATAACACACCTACTCCACCTGACCTACTACCATAACACACACCTACTCCACCTGACCTACTACCATAACACACCTACTCCACCTGACCTACTACCATAACACACCTACTCCACCTGACCTACTACCATAACACACCTACTCCACCTTGACCTACTACCATAACACACCTACTCCACCTGACCTACTACCATAACACACCCTACTCCACCTGACCTACTACCATAACACACCTACTCCACCTGACCTACAATAACACACCTACTCCACCTGACCTACTACCATAACACACCTACTCCACCAGACCTACTACCATACACACCTACTCCACCTGATCTACTCCCATAACACACCTACTCCACCTGACCTACTACCATAACACACCTCCCACCTGACCTACTACCATAACACACCTACTCCAACTGACCTACTACCAACACACCTACTCCACCTGACCTACTACCATAACACACCTACTCCACCTGACCCACTACCATAACACACCTACGCCACCTGACCTACTACCATAACACACACCTACTCCACCAGACCTACTACCAACACACCTACTCCACCTGACCTACTACATAACACACCTACTCCACCTGACCTCACCATAACACACCTACTCCACCTGACCTACTACCATAACACACCCACTCCACCTGACCTACTACCATAACACACCTACTCCACCTGACCTACTACCATAACACACCGCCACCCGACCTACTACCATAACACACCCACTCCACCAGACCTACTACCATAACACACCTACTCCACCTGACCTACTACCATAACACACCTACTCCACCTGACCTACTACCATAACACACCTACTCCACCGACTACTCAACACACCTACTACCTGACCTACTACCATAACACACCTACTCCACCTGACCTACTACCATAACACACCTACTCCACCTGACCTACTACCATAACACACCTACTCCACCTGACCTAAACCTCCGTTAATTAACTCCCAGGGCGCCAAACGCCTCTAAAAACTGTTTATTTAATGGCGTTTGATATCCCAAGTCCTGGTTAGCATGACTACACTATTAAATCAGATCCAGAAGTTATTATAAGCCACTTGTTTAATTGTTGTTGTTGTTGTTGTTTAATGTATGAGATAACTTAATACACGTTGTTGAAAGACCATAATAGTGTAGTTAGCAGTTGTTGAAGCGTAGAGATACAATTAAACTACAATAGCCTTATAGTGTGTGTGTGTGTGTGTGTGTGTGTGTGTGTGTGTGTGTGTGTGTGTGTGTGTGTGTGTGTGTGTGCCTCACCGTCTTACTTAAATGTTATAATTGCCACATCAAAGGTAAATAAATTATGTAGAAATATGAAAATAAGGTTTATGGTGTAAAACAGATGTGTAAATCTGCATAAATAAATGTTTTTACTGGTTAGGTTAGGTTAGAGAGAGAGAGAGAGAGAGAGAGAGAGAGAGAGATTCTAACATTATCACTACCTTCATTCCCCTGATCCACCTATCCACCACCTTTCACCATCCCTTCACCTAACTATTCATCCACTCTCACCTGCCTGCCTGCCTCTCTCTCTTCTCTCCATCTCCACACATCATCCAGCTCTCTCTCCAGCTTCCCCACATTTGCAATACAGTTCGCCTCAAGCCTAGAGTCAACCAAGAACCTTTTGATGGTGAAACTCAGTCAGGCACGAGTTTTTTTTTTTCGTGTTGTTGTTGTCTGTCTCTCTCTGGTTCTCGGATTCATGGCGACTTAGCCTGCGGATTCTCCCTCCTCTACACGAACGCGGTTGAAGAGCTACGTAATACCTTTCTCAGTTCATTTCTACTGACTGGGGTGACTATATGACTTGACTGAGTGTTGGATTAATTTAAAGTTAATCTCCCTGTTGGTGGTAGATTTAGGTCGTCCTGATGTTAAATTGCAATGAGTTAAATATGTTACAAGAGGAAGAGTTCTATTTACGATAATCTAGCTGGTGCGCGCCAAGACACGTTATATTTTACCGGATTTTTAAACCAAGGCGCTTATTGGAAAATATGTCACAGCGAGATTTATTACGGTAATAAATGATACAATAGATATATATAGATAAAGATGAAGGGTTATGGGGGGTTTTAGTCATTCATAAACCAAGACGAACACAAGAATATATGTCACGGTCGGGTATATCTACAAGAAATATAAAGACAGATACTTTATAGGTTTTTAAACAACTCAAACCCTGGAAAATATATCACAGTGGGATATAAAATACAGGAGGTAGATGGGCGGATATTTTAGAGAACACTTGTAAACAAAGACGACCCCCCTGGAAAATACGTCACGGTAAACTTTAATCATAGCGTCAAAGATCCAGAATTTGTAAAGCATCCAGGACCTCCTTTATACCCTGAACAAACACTTTGTCTGCCAGGCGTGTTGCGCCTGGCGACCGGTGAAAGGCAGCAATCATTGGATGTTACCGTGTGGGGAGACCAGTGGGTGGGGACCTCCAGGTAGTTTCAGGTATACCATTTGTCTAATGACTTACCTGGGAGAGATAGCCAGGTGAGGGAGGAGGGTTAGGTGGAGAGGGGAAAGAGGGTGAGGTGAGGGAGAGGAGGGTCCACACACACACACACACACACACACACAGGTAAACGTCAAGAATAATGATAATGATGAATGACCTGGAGACGTGGATGATGACAATAATGGTCCAGGAAAACAGATATAAACTGAAGTCAGAAGCGGGTAATGATGACGGGTGACGAGGTGGCGGTGATGGATGAGGTGGATGATGGGTGGTGGCGGTGATGGATGAGGTGGATGATGGGTGGTGGTGGTGATGGATGAGGTGGATGATGGGTGGTGGTGGTGATGGATGAGGTGGATGATGGGTGGTGGTGGTGATGGATGAGGTGGATGATGTATGAGGGTGGGTGATGGGTGAGGTGGATGATGGTGGGTGGATGATGAGGGTAGATGATGGTGGATATGAGAGTGGGTGGTGGATGAGACATAACTTACCTTGGCAGTAGTACGGAGTATCATTACATGATCTGTAAGAAGAGGAAAAAAGAATATTTGTATTATTACTATTAATTTATCCATTATTCACAGCTTAGACAGACAGACAGACAGACAGACAGACAGACAGACAGACAGATAGATAGATAGATAGATAGATAGATAGATAGAGATAGACAGATAGACAGGCACTAACATATTATACATAGACAGACAGACAAACAGACAGACATACAGATAGATAGACAGATAGATAGATAGATAGATAGATAGACAGATAGACAGGCACTAACATATTATACATAGACAGACAGACAGACAGACAGACAGACAGACAGATAGATAGATAGAGAGCTAAGATAGATAGATGGTAATTACATAACCTTTATTATTTTTATATTCTTTATTTATCCCTTCGTGTGTTATTCCATCATCATCATCATCATCCATTATTGTCATCTTCCCGTCAATGTTTACCAATCTTTTACAAGACTTTGTTAGTCGGGTCCTCACACAGAGTATGTTCCAAGTCATGTCCTTGTCGACTGTCTTTTGTTTTTAAGTCGAATGCTGTGGGAGGGGTTGGGAGGGGTTGAGGGGTGGGGGGTTGGGGGGTGGGAGGGGTGAGGGGTGAGGGGGGGGGTGTGGAGGGGGTTGGAGGGGTGGAGGTGGGAGGGTTGGGAGGGGTTGGGAGGGGGTTGAAGCATTTCGGTGGGATATATTGGGCATTGATGATGGAGAGACTGTATCGCTGAGAGAGAGAGAGAGAGAGAGAGAGAGAGAGAGAGAGAGAGAGAGAGAGAGAGAAATACACCATCACGACCTCAGGTAAATAATGAGTCAACACCGCCTCCCTACTACTACTACTCCTGTTCTCCCTCTCCATCTCCCTATCTCCCATTCCACCTCCATCACCCCTTCTATCTCTTCTCTTCCACCTCCATTTCTCTCCCATTCCACCTCCATCATCCTTTCCATCACCCTCCTCTTCTACCTCCAACCTCCGTCTCTCTCCCGTCCCACCCCTATCTCCTCTCATTCTACCTCCTCCTCCTACCCCTCTCTCTCCTCCTACTCCCGGGAAGAAGAAGAAGAAGAAGAAGAAGAAGAAGAAGAAGAAGAAGAAGAAGAAGAAGAGGAAGAGGAAGAAGAAGGATCAGTTCAGAGGGAAGGGAAAGGAGGAGGCTGTTTACAGTACACTTAAAGAACTGCAGGTTATTTGTAGAAGGTTGGGTGTGTGTGTGTGTCAGGGGGGCGTGTCCCTGTCGTCATGAGAGAGAGAGAGAGAGAGAGAGAGAGAGAGAGAGAGAGAGAGAGAGAGAGCTGTCAACCCTGACGTAGGTACTGTCGTCATCAGGGGACACGACATGTTAGGGAAGATGATGGGAAGACAGAGAGGAGGAGGAGGAGGGAGGAGAGAGGGAGGGGAGAATTAATAAAGAGATACAACAAGGGAAGGAAAGTGGAAGATATAATTGATTTTTTTTCCCACAATGAGGAATTCTGAAGTTTACACAAGATGAAGGGGGAGACTTAAGTGGCAATAATGTTTGATGGTACGAGAAAATCATTTAAGAAAAGAGGGAGAATTAGAAATGGTGATAAAGGAGAGGAGAAATGCGATAAAGACGTGAATAGAGCAATCAAGGAGAAGGAGGAGGAGGTATTCTTAAATAAATCAGACAATAGACGAGAGTATCTGTGAAGACGATACGAGACAAAGACTGAATAAATGATATGAGAGGAATAAAGGACTGCTAGGAAGGGAGATGTAAACAAAGAACAAATGAGCATCAACGTTATTATAAATGAAATAACCTTCTATGGTAGAGAACAAATGAACATCGATATTACTATAAACGAAACGACATTTTATTATGGATTTTAAGAACAAATTAGCATCGACATTATTATAAACAAAACAGCCTTCCAGGGTTTTAAGAGCAAATGAACATCGATATTATAAAATGAAATAACTTCCAATAAGGTTAGAGAACAAATGAGCATCGATATTATTCCAAACGAAACAACCTTTTATCGCGAGTTTTAAGAACAACTAAGCATCAAAGTTATTATAAATGAAACAATATTTTATCAAGTTCTTAAACAGGTTATTTAAGTAATGTATATAAAAAAGACCATTAAAGCTTTTAAATGTCTAAATGTCGCATAAAAGAGAAAAAAAGTAATATGTTATTGTTTATCAAGCTGATGTTTAGAGGTGTAGCAGCATCAACCAGCGTGGAAAGAAAGAAAGAAAGAAAGAAAGAAAGAAAGAAATATATTACACACACACACACACACATTCATACTACTACTACTTACTACACACACACACACACACCTTGCATCAAACGAGAGAGAGAGAGAGAGAGAGAGAGAGAGAGAGAGAGAGAGAGAGAGAGAGAGAGAGAGAGAAGCATTGATATATTGGGAAAAAGAGAAAGGGAAAGGAGAGGTGTTTGTGGGAGATAATGAGGGAGGGAAACTAGTGTTGGAGGTGGTGATGTTGAAGGTAGTGGTGTTGGAGGAGGTGGTGGTGGTGTTGGAGGAGTGGTGTTGGAGGAGGTGGTGGTGTTGGTAGTGGTGTTGGAGGTGGTGGTGTTGGAGGTAGTGGTGTTGGAGGTGGTGGTGGTGGTGCTGGGAGGTAGTGGTGTTGAGTGTGGTGGTGGTGTTGGAGGTGTGTGTTGGTGGTGGTGGTGGTGTTGGAGGTAGGTGGTGTTGGAGGTGGGTGGTGCTGGAGGTAGCGGTGTTGGAGGTGGTGGAGTGGAGGTGGCGGTGTTGGAGGTGGTGGTGGTGTTGAGGTAGTGGTGTTGGAGGTGGTGGTGGTGTTGAGGTGGGAGGTCCCGGGGTGGTGGAGGGTATAAGGCCTCGTCACAGACTTCAAGGAGCAGTAAAAATAATGAAACCTTCAAGATGGTCTGAGGTTACTACTGCTGCAGGCCGCCACCAATACCACCTCCCTCCTTCATCTTCCAACTCAAAGGAAAATGGTATAAATATTTTCTTCCCTCCTTTCTTCCTTGTTCCTTTCCTTCCTTCCTTTCCTTCTGCATTCAAATCTTCCTTCCTTTCTTCTTCTATCTACTTCCTCATTTTCTTCCTTTTTCCCTTTCCTTCTCTCCCTCCTTCTCCCCTCTCTTCATTCCTCTCACCACCATCACTATATTCACACACACACACACACACACACACACACACACACACACACACAAACTCAGCCCACTTGACAAATCCTCTCTGGGACACGGCGGCAAATGACGTCAAATCAAAGACAGAGGTAGAAAACCCCTCCCCCCCCACCCTCCTCCCCTCACCTCTCCCTCCCGTCACCCCTCACCCCTCCACCCCGTCACCCCCACCCTCCTCCCCCCTACCCCCCCCTCACAGGAAAAACTAATGGGCAATATCTGAAGTCAGTCGTCGTCCCAATGCAAATGCACCGAACACCAGCAGCAGGTTGACAGTGGTGAAGAAAGAAAGAAAAGAAAAAAGAAAAGAAAGAAAAGAAAGAAAGAAAGAAAGAAGAAGAAAAAATACAATATAAAAAATAAATAGAATAAAATAAATAAAATAAAATAAATAAATCAATAAAACAAAAAACAACAAATAGATAAAATAAAATAAAAATAAATAAAATAAAAACAAAATAAAATAAATAAATAAATAAAATAACTAAATAAATAAATAAAGTTAAACAAAGTAAAATAAGTAAATAAAATATTAAATAAAAACCACAGGTGATGATTAATGGTGAGTGAGTCTTTCATTATCACCTCAGCTTCAATGTGGAGTGAAAGAAATGAAAGAAGTGAAAGAAGAGGATTTATTATACCAACGACGCTCCTATTGTTGAGTTACTAATAGAGGTAGTCTTATGTCAAACAATAACAACAACAACAATAACAACAACAACAACAACAACAACAACAACAATAATAACATCATCACGAATAACAACAATAATAATAACATCAACAATAACATGAACAACGACAATAATAACATCAAAAACAATAACAACAAGACAAACAACAAAAACAGAAAACAACTAAAAGGGAGATAATAAAATAATAACAACAACACAAAGAATACAACAATACCACCACCACTCCACCACACCCTTGCCACCACCACCACACACCCTGCCACCACCACACACTCCCTGCCACCACCACTGCCTCCCTGCCACCACACTCCCACACACCCGCCACCACAACCTCCCCTGCCACCACCACCACCTCCTACCACACCCTCCCACCCCTTGCCACCACAACCTCCTGCCACCACCACTCCCACACCTTACCACCTCCCCTGCCACCACCACAACCTCCCCTGCCACCACCCCACCCCTACCCTGCCACCCCTGCCCACACCACAACCCCCCTGCCACCACCACTCCCACACACACCCTCCCCACCACCCTGCCACCCACACACCCCTGCCCCACACCCTTGCCACCACCACCCACCACCCACCACACACCCCTACCACCACCACCACACCACCACAACACTCCCTACCCACCACCTCCTGCCACTGCCACCCTGCCACCCCACACACACCCTGCACCACACACCACCACCACCACCACCACACACCTACCACCACACACCTACCACCACCACCCACACCCTGCCACCACAACACACCCCTACCACACCACCACACACCCCTACCACCACCACCACACACCCCTACCACCACACACCCCTACCACCACACACCCCACCACCACACTCCCCTACCACCACCACCACACACCCCTATCACCACACACCCCTACCACACACCCCTCTACCACACACCCCTACCACCAGCCACCACCACCACACTCCCCTCCCACCACCACCACCACATCCTACCACCACACACCCCTACCACCACCACCACCCTCCCCTACCACCACCACCACCTGCCATCACACACCCCACCTGCTCCACCACCACCACACTCCCCTACCACACCCCTACCAACCACCACCACCACTCTCTACTACCACCACACACCCCTTCCCATCACACCCCC